TTACGATGCCGACGATCACACTAGTCTCAGCTTCCGCCGAGGCGACATTATACAGGTATTGAACCAGCTCGAGACCGGTTGGTGGGACGGTGTCATCGACAATAGTGTGCGGGGCTGGTTCCCCAGTAACTACTGCACTGTGATAACAGACTTGGATGAGCTTGAAGAACAGGGACCGCAGACCCACGAGAATGAGGAAGTTAGTGCGGAGTCAGGCATTGGCGAGGAATACGAGGAGGAACAAGACGGTGATGATGTTGACTCAGCGGGCAATCCGCGCGACTCGCAGCCCATTCTGCCTATCGAGGGCGTAGGAGCTCCCAAGGAGCAGGAGGAGGCAGCCTTCTGGATTCCACAGGCGACACCTGATGGCCGTCTATTCTATTTCAACACCCTTACCGGCTACAGTACCATGGAACTTCCGTTCGAAAATCCCGCTGTCAACGAGACTGGCCCTTATGACCGCAACAACTTCCTCGTGCCAGACCAGACGCGACCTCCTCCGGAGCTGATGGCTCGTGGGTTCGAACGGGATGAGGATGATTACGATGGCTCAGCTTCGGAAGCGGAAGGCGAGTCCTTGATGCTTACATCTCGCGATTCCATGTCTCGGAGACGCCAGTCCTACTTGGACGGAGTTTCACCCGCGACGTCCATGGACTCGCTGCACCCACCATCTGCGACAAAGTCCATCAACGACGGAAAAAGTTCGCATCAGTCCCTTCTGACATCGCACAAGTTCTATGATTCTGCCACGAGCAGTAACAACTCCGTCTCCGATAATATCCACAGGCCTTCCGTCTCCTCTGAAGTTCCGTCGCATTTCGTTGACGACGGGTTCTCTGTTCAGTTGACCTGGCCTCTGCTTGTTGACAATATGCGCCATGCCGTTGAGGTCTACCGGCAAACGCTGTTGAACGGCGACCGCTCTGAGTATGTGAGGAAAGCGGAGGATATTTCCGACCATCTGCGCATGCTGCTGGCGGCTGGCTCGGACACGACCGACAATCACTCCGGAAACCCATCAGTGATCTCCACCAATAAGGCGCTATATCCCCACTTCAGGGATATGATGTCAAAATTCTCGAAGCTCGTGCTCTCGTCCCACATTGCGGCCGCCGATTGGCCAGGACCGGATTCCATCAATAAATGCTTGCAAGAGGCAGATGGTGTGATGCAGGGCGTCTACGGCTACGTCGAGGTTGCAAGACAACAGCGTGGCGAGACCATCCATCGCATTGTTCCTGGATTCGTCGTGGGCAGCTTTTCGGGCGGCTGCTGGCAGAATAATGGCGTCTCTCTTAGTGATTCGGGTCCGACTTCGTTTCTGGATCACGACGCAAATGATTCGCGGGCGGAGCCATCAGTGACCCTGGATGCGGCCCTTATAGACCACATTGATATTCTCAGGAGATCCTTTGTTGGCAGCATTCGTCGGCTGGAAGAGCGACTGACACTTAACCAGAAGAAGATTGTTACCATTAAAGAGCACGAGGAAATTGCGAATGCTGTTTCTCTTGCTGCAATCAAGGTCGTTGAGCAGTTCCGCCCGTGGATGTCGGCAGTTGAATCTATTAACCTAGCACCCCTCGGGACTAGCTTCCAAAATCCACAACTGGTTGATTTCAGCTTGCAAAAGCAAAGAACCTACGATGCCATTGCCGACTTCGTACTCAGCTGTCAAGCCGTTTCGGCGCCACTGGGCGATGAATGGGCGGAACTACGAGGTGATTCGCTTGATGACCGATTGAATGCCGTGCGTGGCGTTCACCGGCAGCTTGAGAACTATGTTTCCCAAATCGGCTTCTCCCTTTCACTGCTCCTCGAACAAGTGCCCGAACCTTCTGCCTTCCGCGCGGAAAGTCGCCTGGGTGGGGAGAATGCGGGGCTGAAGGCCATTCACAGCAGGTCGGAGTCCCAAGCTGGAGTCGCCACCGAGTCCATTGGTATTCCCTCTTCTTACTCGGTTGAAAACGCGTCAGAGAAGGTGCGACGCAACATGGACAAGGCCCAGCGATTCTTTGGACAGGCTCCTCCGGCTGCAATTCCACGAGAACCTGCAATGCGGGAACCGGTCCGCGAGCCGGAAGAAACGCCCTGGTTCTTGAAAACAGATCACGAAGGTGAAGTGTTCTACGATACTAAGAATGATAGCCTCAACTTGAAATGTGGAACTTTGGCAGGCTTAGTGGAACAATTGACTCGCCATGACAAGCTTGATGCTTCCTTCAACAACACGTTCCTCTTGACCTACCGCTCATTTACATCTGCAGAGGAGCTCTTCGAGATGGTTACCGAACGGTTCAATATTCAGCCCCCGCCCGGTCTCAACAACGACGAGATGCAAATGTGGATCGACAGAAAACAGAAACCCATTCGATTCCGCGTGGTCAATATCCTGAAGAGTTGGTTCGAGAATTTCTGGATGGAACCCAATGATGAGCCACACATGGCGCTGCTTCAGCATGTTCATGCGTTTACCAAGGATTCTATCGCTACGACAAAGACTCCCGGATCACCGCAGCTGTTAGCTGTCATAGAGCAACGCCTCCGTGGACAAGATAATACCGTTAAGCGTCTCGTGCCTACGCAGGCTACTGCAGCGCCAACGCCGATCATCCCGAAGAACATGAAGAAGCTGAAGTTCTTGGACATCGATGCCACAGAGTTCGCCCGGCAGCTCACTATTATCGAGTCGCGTCTCTACTCGAAGATTCGGCCTACGGAGTGCTTGAACAAGACCTGGCAGAAGAAAGTCGGCCCTGACGAACCGGAACCTGCCTCGAATGTGAAGGCACTGATTCTTCATTCCAATCAGTTGACAAACTGGGTCGCGGAGATGATTCTCAATCAATCGGATGTTAAGAAGCGTGTAGTTGTTATCAAACACTTCGTTAACGTCGCAGATGTACGGACTAGCCCTTTGCCCCTCTTTTACCTCTCGGCCAAGTGTAGATGCTGACGCTTACTAGAAATGCCGCGCTCTGAACAATTACTCCACGCTGACATCGATCATCTCTGCACTTGGAACGGCTCCTATTCATCGACTTGGACGCACATGGGCTCAGGTCAGCGGACGCACGTCTACCGTTCTCGAACAGATGCGCCGACTCATGGCTAGCACGAAGAACTTTGGTGAATATCGGGAGACTCTGCATCTGGCTAATCCACCTTGTATCCCCTTCTTTGGTATGCATTTATTGCAGGCCCCGGCCTTCTAGTTATCATGCAATCGTTTCGAGACTAACAGACTGCTTAGGTGTCTACTTGACGGATTTGACTTTCATTGAAGATGGTATTCCATCTCTGACTCCGTCGGAGTTGATCAATTTCAATAAGCGCGCCAAAACCGCCGAGGTCATCCGCGACATTCAGCAGTACCAGAACGTCCCGTACCTTCTCCAGCCGGTCCCTGAATTGCAGGACTATATCCTCAGCAACCTGCAGAATGCAGGCGATGTGCACGACATGTACGATCGGAGCTTGGAAGTTGAACCCAGAGAGCGGGAGGACGAAAAAATTGCGAGGTATGCCAAAACCAGTAGAGACATGAGCGCCTTGACTCTCGCGAGCATGGTAGTGTCGACGCGCTGATCAGGTCGCTTGTTCTGCTTTTTTCTATCCCCTTCCCCCTCCCTTCTCTGTTCCTGTCGTCCAGTGGTTGATCTCCCTAGGCGACACGGTCATTTGTCAAGAAATATTGAGCTCTGGAAGACGTCTTGATGCTTGAGTGAAGACTAACCTACTACTTTCCCCTACGTAGATTGTTGTCAGAATCGGGCTTCCTGTAGTGCTCGCCTCCCCTCGATTCTCGCTTCTCCGCCGGGGCTCCTTATCACCACCCCGGTCGACCTGCTATTCACTCGGCCAGATCCCGAACGACCACCTATCACAATGCTTGAACGACGTCCGATGGCGCGATCGCAATTCACTCCAGCCACGCCATGCAACTTTATTTCTCAGGGGGCTGGTCCCATGAGCCGCCAAATTCCTCGATCCGAACCTCCCTTCCGACGGGTTTCTCCCTTATCTCTGTCTGCCGCCACCTGGCCAATCAAGCACTTCACCTGGACATCATGCGACATTTTCACCCTGATTCTTGGCCTCGCCTGGACGATTGTCATCTCCCTGATTGACTACTGTGGCAGCCGTTGCACAAGAAGCTCGAGCAATGTTACCTTGAGTCCGAAAGATGCTCCTGTCACTTTCAGCTCTCATGATCATCAGTCCATGGACTACTGGTTCTGATTCTTAAGAAAATGGTGCCCAATATGGCCCATTAGTCCAAAGAAATAGCAGCGCAGGAACTCCATCACTGCTGGCTTATACTGTGGGAAAATCCACTACGACTCCCTCTTTGACACCGGCCTATACTCCTTTGGTCCATCTCTTCCCTGTCGTTCCTTATTTCATCATTTCCTTGATAGCCGGACACCATTTCCGCTTTATCTCTTCTCGACCAACTCCAGTCTCGTATCGATACGACTGCGATTTCTTTTGTCTTCTGGTCTACCTTGACGGTCACCATTTCTTTTCGGCTTCTTTTCCCGATACTTTACATATTGTGTCGAACATATCACCTCTGTACAATGGCTCGGGTCCTTTCTCCCTTCTGTACAAATTCTCTTTGCTTTCGTGGTCTCTCACCTGGTGTTGATTGTGATCTTATAAAGAGGCTTGTTTACGGTTCGGATGATGATTTATCATGACGCAGGCTACTATTGACGGATTGGTCTTTGCTTTGGGCATTTTCATTCATGATTACCCCTCTTGTCGTTCCCTTGTGCTGATCTGTTCTCCTATGGACATATACACCTGCTGCAGTGTGTTAGTACATATTAAAGCACATATTACATGCATCAATGGTCATCAGTGCACAGGAATAGCGGTAACGAGACGTAATACGACCAATACAATGATAGCACAAATTGCTACTGAGTAGACAACAAAAAGAAAACAGCAGCAAATGTATCCATTAAGTCATCTCGTCATTCATAGTAGAGTTGTTCTCAAATGAACCTTCATAAGCCTTTCATAAGAACAGAAGTTGAGCACAAGCTCATGATTTCTCCGATCTATCCCCCTCCCCAACATTTTGAAACAGCTTCATCTTCACCTCCGCCGCCAACAAACCCTTCACTTCCTCCGAGACAATACGCTGTCCATCCCTCGCCACCCTCTCCAATTGCGGATCCTTAACCTGCGCCAGATTCCCTCGCGAAGCACTACTCTCCACGCCCCTCGTGGCCCGCTTAATCTTCTGACTCAAATCCACCATCTGCTTACTCCCATAATCCCTCGTCGTAAACAACGGACTCTGACTCAACGTCGCAACCCAATACTTATTCCACAGCAACGACAGAATCTCCGTATCCAACGCACTCTTAAACACAGACACCTCCAGCGAATAATAATGTGATGCATGTGCCCCAAAGTCCTCCGCCTTGTTCAACGGCACCGTCTGATAGTCATCCTCCCCAGCACCACTACCCCCCTCCCCCTTCGGCGGCGTATAATCCTTCGGAAACGTCCTAAATGCCCCAATATCCACCTTCCCTGCTGAGATTGTCCTCTCTGGATCAACCACCACCGCCACAAACGGTCCCCCGAGCTGCTGCATATCCTGCGTCGTCACATCAATGCCCGATAACCAGCACCCGTACCCGGGATGACTGTGGTACCAGCCCACTGCGTTTTCCATCCGTCCTGCGTCCCGGCACGACTGTAGGTAAGAGACCATGTATTCGTTGGCTTCGTCTTGGGCGTTGACTCGCGTTTCGGTTCCCTCCACGGGAAGTCGGAAGGCGTCGGTTACCACGAAGGTTTCGGGCAGGACATAGCCTTGCATTAGGCCCATTACTTCGAGGGAGCCGCCGGACCGCGCGTGCATTACCATCTTGAGGAGTGCGACGGCGGAGATTCGGATCGATTTGAAGTAGTGTGGGTCTTTGGACCAAGGGCGCTGAGCGCTAAGAGCTTTGTGTGTCTCTTCATCGTATTTGTAGAGCGCGTCTCGGTGGGGGTCTATGAGGGTGACGGCATTTTCGAATTCTGTGGTTATGGGGTTAGAGTGCTGTGAGATGGAGTGGGGGTGGGGATGGGGTTGGGGATGGACGTACCCCAGGACTGCTGGGCAGCCTGCATGGTGGATGGTAGAGAAGAAGTTGTAATTGGAATAGTAAGGGGATGGTATGGAGTATTAACACGGATTGGCTGAAATTAGAAGTAGATTTTGATTATTGGAATGAAAAGGTCAAGTGGAGTAGTAGATAATGAGATCTGGATAGTAGATAGAGAGATGGTGTGAGGTGACTCCGGGCGGTGAGCAACTCCCCGGCAGATCGCGGCGGAGATCGGCGCTGAGTCAGCGGTTACCGGGCCGACGGGGTCACAGCTGAAAGCGGCAGCAAACAGAGCAACAAGGCGGCGAGCAGATCGGGATTGCGGCTGCAGAATCCCCAAAGGGATATTGTTATTGTCTTTCCCTCCATCACCGCTGCCTGTCTCCATCCCCTCCATCCCAGTCACCCTTGCATATACCCGCATCTCGCTGAGCTGGTCATAAATCTGGCGGGTCTTCCCTTGTCCTCGCAGATGCCACTCATCTTCCCGTGAGGCGCTTCGCTGTCAATCGCAGTCTCGCGTTGTTCATCCTGCCTGTTTGGATAACTCGCAGCTCCTCTTTCTAATCTCTCCAGGCGCATCGCCGCCCCCCGAGCGTACATGACGCTGACCCCCGCCATTTAAAGGCGAGTTTGTCTTCGATCGCGCACTCAAACAACCTCCTTCAGGCCAATCAGTTCCACGATACACCAATAACCCCCCCTGGCTTGGGCGTGGGAAACAAACACGACACTATGGCCGTCGATACAAGCTACTTGACCACTCAGGTCAATAACATCGTCACTCAATTGCATGGAATCTTTGATGACATTGGCGTTCCGAACCATGAGCGCGAGTCCAGAGAAGCAGAGGTCGGTTGTTTCTGATATTCTCAGCACCCCTCGCGACTAACTGTAAAGCAGCTCTTCAGCGCGTTGTCTGAAACGCTAAACAACCACCTCAAACTTGTGGATAAGTATGCGCCTCGCCTACATTGCAATGTCCTTATGACCTAGGACTAATCTTTTGTAGTGAGAAAAAAGATATGGAGGATGAGGCACAGAACCTCATCGAAGCAATCCAGCATATGGAGAAGTCCCTAGTCGATGAAAAGGCGAACGGACAGTACCAGCTTGACCACAACGAACTGCGCATTAGCTACCCACTGAATCGCTGCCTCGCCTTTCTCCGAGAGGAGCACAACGCATTGAGCAAACTACACAAAGAGCGCTTCGAGCAAGTCAGGAGTGAGTTAATCCTAAGCGCCACAAGGCGCGCAATTGTTGACTGGCTATAGAACTTGTCGAGGCTCTTGAGTCGTACGCGTCGCATCTTGAACCTACCTTTGTCGCCATTGAGCTTCCCCCGACAGCTCCTGGATCAACCATCTCACCCAGCTTCGACCTCTCGCCATCCTACGTCACTGCGCTAGACAGCGAATTCACCCGCGTTTACGAGGAGTACCATCGTCGTCTGGAGTTTGTTCAGTCCACATCTGAAGAGATTATCAAGCTGTGGGCCGAGCTCGGAACGCCTCAGGTTCAGACAGACACCAACATTGTCAAATACTATCGCGAATCGCCGGAGCAGTTAGGTCTCCATGAGTCGGATCTGGCCAATTTGATGGCCAAGCGCGAAAAGCTCTTGGGTGAGAAGAAGGGCCGCGAGCGCAAACTGATGGACCTCAAGAACGCCGTCGAAGCATTGTGGGAACGATTCGGAGTCGAAGACTGCGACAGAAAAGCGTTCATGAATGCGAACCGTGGCTGCGGACTTCGGACGATCAATGAGTTCGAGGACGAGTTGAGTCGCCTGAATGAGCTGAAGAGACAGAACCTGCATCTATTCGTGGAAGATGCTCGGTGTCGACTCCAAGAGCTCTGGGATAGCCTCTACTTCTCGGAAGAAGAGATGCTTGACTTCACGCCTGCCTTTTCAGATGTTTGCAGCGATGCGCTGTTAGAGGCGCACGAAGCTGAAATCGCGCGACTAGAGACCTTGAAGGAACAGCGCGCGCCGACTCTGCAACTCATCGAGAAGCATAAGAGCCTCCTATCAGAGCGGGAAGCACTGGCCGTTTCGAGTCAGGACGCATCCCGTCTTATGGCTCGCGGAAACAAGGGCGAGAGACGCGATCCTGGAAAGCTTCTAAGAGAAGAGAAGATGAGAAAGAGGATTGCCAAGGAGCTGCCCAAGGTGGAAGCCGACTTGCGCAAAGAGCTGGAGAGGTGGGAGGATGAGTATGGCCGGCCATTCCTCGTCCATGGAGAACGGTACCTCGACGAACTCACCCCTGTTGTTGCAAAGCCACCTCCACGGTCCAAGACTCCTGGGCCTACCAGCGCAAAGCGTCCTACCCCAGCACAACCGCCTCGCCCGGCCAGTGTCATGAGTTCTCGGCCTGGCAGTGCCATGCGAGGGCCTTTGCCGCCGCGCTCGGCTTCCAAGACACCCACTGCCCATCCAACTACAAAGTACAACACCATTGGACCTGCTGCTGGTAGGGCAGGGGCCAAATCGCCGTCGAAAATTCCAGCTCGTGTTCCCCTGGGCAATATGCCGCATGGAAGCAACTCCCCGCGCCGGGGTGGTCCAGGCACATATTCATCTAGTACTGTGAACGGTAAGATGCCGGCACCTCGTGCACCACCGCCCAGGATGCGCGCGTTGACCGGAGGTGAGTCGAGGGAGGATCGAGCGGCATACCTGTTTGAGCCACCTCGATCTGCCAGCGCCTTGTCGAATTCATTTGTGCGGCCAGTCAGCCCAGAGGACGTGTATGACGATCGTAACCAACGCTCCTTTGTCAGCTCTTCCGCGTTCTCTCAACGCTCCACTGGATTTTCCCAATCTTCCCACTCTTCAGCTTCGTCACTGTCCTTGAGCTCCTCTATGCAAGGCTACCCCAAGCCAAACCCATATTTGCAGCAAATGCCCCCACCGCCAGCGCCAAGACAAGTGTCAAACTCCACGGTGCAGACCGCAGTATCCGGGTCAGAGAACTGGGAGACTTTCGATGACGGTTCGGAATCCGAAGCAGACGCTAGCGACGTGTACTATGCGAAGCTTCGTGCTGCACATGGGAAGCGACTGGCCGATCCTGAGGAGAACCAGAACCGCTCCCTTGGAGGCAAGAAAGCCAAAGGCATCCGAAGCGTCAGCCCAGACGAGCCAGCTCCCCAGATGGGGAACATGGTTCGAGTCAGCGACGCCGAGTGGACGGATGACTTAGAGCCATATTGAAGTCTCCCACCTATAGCCTTTCGTTGACTAATGATCCTACTTTTTGAGACTTTCAGGGGTCTCTGAAAGAACGTGATTACGAGACGACTCGACGTTGACGATTTCACGAATGACCCTGAAGCACTCTTTCTGTCACCGTTCCCACTCGCACCATTTAATCGTTGAGCTTTTCACAGCATCAACAATGACTTGCGCAAATGCGCTCAGCTAACCATCTTAATTTCTTCTGTTAAAATTCGGAATTATACCACGTGCGTTATGTTCTGGCTTATCTGGACGCCCAACCTTGGATTTTACTTTGCGTCTGACTTACTTCTACCACTCTGCCACTCACTGCGTGATAGGCAGGGCCCGACAAACCGCGACAGACTTCAGCATGTCGTTACCTGATGTCACAAATGGAAAAAGGACTGCGGAAAAACCAGGCGTCTTTTTGTAACATGCCTTTTTGCTCTATGTTTGAATAATTTACCTCTACCCGGACTGGGATAGACGGGGTTGGTGTTCCAGCTGCGACTCCTACCTCAATTTCTTTTTATGATAATTCGCTCGATTACCGACTTTGAATCTTCTCTTCTCTTGGTGTGGCTCTCTGATTTTTCTTCTTTTTTGTCTTCTATGGACGTGTGTATAAGTCCCTGGCATGCTTTTGACTCTATTTCTGTTGTGATATCAGCGCGGTTTGTTATCTCTTTTAGCCGCTAAGTTACTTTATGGTTCATGTCCTAGCAATGGATAGTATTTATTCCTTTTCTACCACCTTTACTCGAAGATCAAGAGCTGTAGGATAGTATGATCGATAAAATACAAAGCTGTAACGTGATTCAACTGTACTGATCATATTCTACACTTCTATTATACACTTGATTCTTATTACTTACACACGTCACCATCTACCCTTCTCAGATACTTCAGCTTCTACCACCAATAACCTGTTAGACATATACACCTAAGAAGACCCAGAAGAAGGAGCCAACGACCCCATCCAAGACCGATCCTCACCCAAACTCTCCACTCCCTGCTTAACCCGTCTCGTCGGCCCCGGCACCAAATGCGCCGTCAACTCCTTCGCCTCCTGTACTCTCCTCACCGTTTCCTCTCTACCCAGAATAGCCATCGTCTCTGGGATACCAGGACCCGGTGCACCAGCCGACAATGCCCAACGGAGGTAGTGGTATAGTTCCTTCTTGAAAGCTTTGTCAGCTGCCTTCTGCGCTTTGGTGGATTCTTCGGGCGTGAGGGTGTCAGTGGGAGAGGGGTCGTCGGGGGTGGTGCCGTCGTAGGCGGTTATGTTTGCGCGGTGGGTTTCGAGGGTCCAGTGTGCCGGGGGGACGAGGGTGAGTGCTAGGCTTGCGGTGTGGAGGGATGTCAAAGGGATTGTGTTGGTCGTAGATGAGGGGGTGTAAGGGGATCGGGTGAGGGATTGGGTGAAGAAGGTCGAGTTGCGGGCTGTGAAGTCTGCGGCGTTGGTGTAGGATTTGGCGTCGGCGCGGAGGAGGGGGGCGATGTATGTTTGTAGGGAACGGGATTGGAGGAGGGGGTTGCTGTGAGTGAGTGGTTAGTTGGTTTGTTTGAGTATGTGTTTGTAGGGTAAGGGAGTGGGTGTATGTACAGTTGCGCGGCTGGGTAGGTCTTCTCGACTTCTTCGGATACCTTGGTCACCATCTCGGTGAATTCGGGCCCGTCGGTGGAAGCGAAGCGTTGGGCGTGCGCTTTCTGGAGGAACCAAAGCTTTTCGAAGGCCACGACGGTGTTGCCGCGGGTGATTTTGAGGTTAAACTGTGTTGCTTGTGTTAGTGGGTTTGAGTGAGCGAGTGAAGGAGGAGGTAAAGGGACGTACGAGTTGCTCCAGCTCTTCAAGGTTGAAGATATCCGACTTCTGGGTGTGCGACCAGCCCAGGAGAGCGGCAAAGTTCACGAGGGTTGCAGCAAAAACGCCTTGGGTGTCCTTGAAGAAGCTGAGGTCGATATCCGCATTGCGTTTGCTGAGCTTCTGTCCCGACTTGTCCACGAGGAGAGGTACGTGGCCGAACTGCGGAGGC